GGTTTGGTTTTGGCCAAAGAGGAAGTCATAGGTAAGGAAATTTTGGCAATTCCAATAAATTAAATATGATTAACGACGTATTTTTCCTTTGATTTCAAGGCTCTACATTTGCCAAAGCCAAGCCCGAAATCCCCTGGACATCGCTAACTCGGAAGGGAATTGTGAGAGTTGTATTTTTTCCATTATTCAGCCAGTGGTGGATACAGGTGACTTCCCAACGCATTTTCATGTGGCTCCTGGTGCTCTACGTTATGCAAGGTGAGGGGTGGGAGCAGTCTGTGCCACAGTCCTTCTTCTGCAAGGAACGTGACATCATTTTGCAGCCCAGAACCCGAAGCCTGAGGATCCTGTGTGAATGGATCTAAATGTAGCTTTCAGGGTGTGTGGCGCTAGTGTTTGTGGAAATTATAACACAGGGTAAAAGTAAACAGCTACGACAGGAGGACTGGGCCACGCTCTTAGTTATTGCACGTGATGGTATTTTCTCCTTTCCAGTCCTAGCAGTGGTGTTGTACTTCATGATGCCCGTCGTGAACGCGAGTGAGGTGATGGGACCCATGTGCCTTATGCTGCTGATGGGAACCGTCCACTGCCAGATCGTGTCCACCCAGGTGCACCGGCCCTCGGGCAACCCCGGGCTGAGCAGGCGCCGGAGGTGAGCGCGGGGCCCGTCTGCCAGAGGGGTCAGGGCACGGGGCGGGTGGCTCAGGGCAGGAGTTATGGGTCAATCCTGTCTCTTCTGTTCTTACATAAAGATGTGATTTCACTGTGAATGTGAAAGCGAGCGTTTTAGTTCTTGCTTTAATCTTCTTGTAACCAAGGCAGATTTGGCATGTTGATCAGGCCGTGACAGGGCTGGTGTAGCTGTTGTCAGCTGGACTCTTTCCAAGGTGGCCTTTTGGTTCCGTTTCTGTTGGTGACACCTGCAAGGTCCTGGGGGCTGCTCGGGGTCCTGCCTGCTGAGGACAGGGAACGATGACGTGATGACCGCAGCGGATCCATGGCGGTCCGTCTGCTGGATAGTCAACTCTGGTGTCTGACTGGGGTTAAACACTGACGCAGTGTATTTGAGCACAGAATGATGGATGTAGATATAGTTTTGCCTCTGTTAAATTTTTACAGCAAAGATTTTGTCCAGGTGTTGTCTGTTGCATCCTTTATTATTGATTTACTGATGTCCTTTGGGTATATGGCTAATTTCTGACATCATAAGCATTGCCTGCATGACTTAAGAACAATAGCATCTAAGAAGCTGGTCAAACCTGCTTCAGATCTTTTGAGAAAGACTTAAAAGTAGCTTGCTATGCAAATTTAATTCTTCTTTTTTTAAAAACCAGGAAGTTACGCAAATCTGTGGGTGTCGATGGCAACAGTTGGTCTTCTCCTGACACAAACAGTAAAGAAGAGCAGTCTGACTCTGCATCTGTTCTGAATTTATTCAGTACACTTTTCCACAGGAGGTATGTGCTCTTCACTGGCTTTGTTGTGTTTGTAATGACATGGTGAACATTTTGACATCTGGAAATTGAAGGCAGAATGTATCTGATGTCCCCCAAGTCTGCCAGTTAGTTTCTTGTGAACCAGAAGCACTCTTGATGTTGTAGGAGGCTGATTCCTTTTGGATGTCTGTTGTGACCTTATCAGGAGATCTTACCCTGTCTCACCATGTAGCTAAAATGGAGTGTTAGGGGAGCTGCAGAAAGTGGCAGAGCTCATTGTTCTGAATCAGATCCATAACCCATCTTGAACGTGTACGCTCAGATTGTGTTTCTGTTTTACCTGATTTCCAGAAGCAATTGTGCCTTCCAGTTTGAGTTGCTTGGATAGTCATCCCACTTTACCAAAAATTAACTCTTTCTGAAAGTAACTCGAGGGAAAGGAGGATAGATTGTTTGGGATTTTTTTCAAAATAATGATAAAAAAATTCCCTCTGGGTTTAGAAGTTTTAAGATACTGTTAACATTACAAAAGAACAATCTGGTGAGAAGGAAGCAGATGTAAAGTCCCTTCAGCAGCATCAGGACATGAGCCTGTCAGCAGCAGGGAGCGGCCCCGCAGTGGGCCCTTCAACCTTGTAACTGTGTGGCAAGCAGGAGAGGCCGTCACGTTGTCCTCAAAGAGCTTTTCTCTGACATGCAAGCATCTAATTGTATGTTCTCTCACAGGCTTAGAAGAGCGAAGTTAGTAGCTGAGAAAGGGACTGAGACAGAAAATGGTGTGAACGGTGTGACTGATGGCATTAAACACAGACACGCCAGATCTGAATACAGGCACTTCAAAGAGAAAAATAAACTTTCTGATGGGGAAAAGAGCCATCAGGTACTGGCAGGAAGGATCCATCTGAAGTCACAGATTTCGGTGTGTTCTGTACGTGCCCAAAAGTTTGTTGGCACTTCGCTGTGTGAGGCGCCTCACTGTGACTGCTGCACTCTAGGGCTGCACCCACAGAGGCGTCTCCGAGGAGCTCTCCAGCGAGGAGGATGCTGAAGCAATGGCACAGAGGGTCCTGCTACGCCAGGCTGTGGAAGGTGCTTCCAGTGACAACAGCTATGAAGAGAAGAAGAGGCCTCTTCTTTCTCTGAACCAGGCTGTCTCACAGGTACTCGGGTTGAATTTGTGCCATTTCCCACAGTGTTTTGCTATGGCTAATGAGCTGCTTTTCCTTTGGTTTTGGCAGGTCAAGCAAACCCTGAAAGGTGCCAGAGATTCTGATAGTGTCGTGGAATCTGAACTAGAATCCACATTATATAGTCAGGTATGGCCATAAATTCAAGAGGCAGAGCTTTTTGGAGCCTGGCCCGTGCAGGGATGGCCCCCCCATCAGAACAGACCATTATTAATACTTGTGGGCCAGGTCCAGGTTGTGGCCTCTAACAGCAAACCAACGAATCCCTTTGTTGGCAGGGTATTATGGTCCAAGCTGCCTCTAGTTGCTCGTGTTGAATCGCTGTGATCGCTGTTCTGGTTTGGGAGACAGCACTGTGTTGTAGATTTTATGCTGATAAATTTTGATTTAAAAATTGAGAAATGAATCTCTGCTGTGATATATACTCATTCACTTAATTACATTGTTTATCTTGCCCCCCTGTGGCTCCCCCCGAACATGAAACTAAAATAGGAGTAGAAATAAATAAAATACATTAATGTCAAACAATAAACTATAAATGAAACCTTAAATTAGATTATGCAAAAGCCAGAAAATCTTTTCACTAGACTGAATCAGTTAATTTTTATTTAGTGAAGATGGGCACAGGGGTGGAGAACTAATGCTCCCTGTGGCTTCCTGTGTGGCACTGCTGGTGGTCAGGTGGCTGC